TAGAACGTATCAAGTCCACTGTTGGATGCTGGGAATCAAGACAACTACTATGGCAGACGACTTCGGACTCGGTGCGTTCTACATAGTCTGACCGTTGGATCCAGCTACCTTTGCAAGCATTTTTATGTTCTACCAAACTTTGTCGAATAGGTCGGCATGTCTCACCAACATAACATCGAGCACATAAGCAAAAAATCTTGTAGCAGCCGGATCCAGATAATGGGTCATATTTCTCTCTAAGAGATGGCATAATAGAAGAAATTGTGAGGGTTTCTTTGAACACTGTTTTTATGCCCCACTTCTTCCCTAATTCGCCTATCTTTTTTAAGAGAAAACATGACGGCAAAATTATGACATGGGAAAAGGTCTCATTCTGAGTCTCTTTGACTAAATGGTCTCCATCTGCAAATGTATTCCTCAGTAGAGAGATATTATTCTCAATTAGGCCCAAATGATAAATATTTTCCAGGAATATATTTTTCAGCCATTCCAACTCTTTAGTCAAATGTTTGCTATCAGCTAGCCTAATACTTCTAAGAATCATTGACATCAAAATTCCAACGTTAGTCTTGTAACTATGGTTGGAAAGAAAATTAAGCAAAGAACCAACATATGTTGACTTCCTATAAACATCTCTTTCTAACTTATCCTTTACTCTAATGATGAGAACATCCAGAAAAGGTAAGGACTTATTCTCTTCCATTTCCATCGTGAACCTAATGTTACTTTTACTCTGGTTGAGTGAAAATAAGAAACAATCTAAATTATCCTTACCATGAGGTCAGATGACAAAATTGTCATCCATGTATCTAACCAGCAATTTTAGTGTTAGTATTGCCTCTTGTAGGAAGTGTTCCTCCAATTTTGCCATATAATTGTTCGCTAATATGGGAGACAGGCAAGATCCCATCGCTAATCCTTGCGTTTGTTCATATAACTTACCATCAAAGGTAAAATGTGGTCCTCATGCATAAATTAATAAGTCTAATAATTGAAGCTACACTAATCTTAATCCTTGTGTTATATCTGGATGATCCTCCAAAGTTTGTATCAGAGCTTGAATAGCTCCTTGCACAGGAATGTTTGTGTATATGGACACAACATCAAAGCTTACTAGCTTATCCTGCTGATCTCGTAATTTTACAAAATCATATGAATTTTTAACTGAGTATAGCCAATAATTGGCAGCGTTCCTTATTTGTATGCCTAAAAATCGTTTCCTTTATTATTTGTGAACATTAGGGAGGCCATAAGCTGTGAAGGGCTTTGCATGTCTCTGTAGTACAGAATTCATTTTCCACTTCTCCATTTCCTCATTATTTACGCATACCATAAGGGCATCTTTTAGCCTAGTTT